TCATACAAATATTTCAACCGACCTGGGACCTCTGCGTGGCAGACCATCATGGTAACAGTTCGTCCACCGAGTTAGAACTTTCCAGAACACCCAAACCTGAACCAATTTAGAAAAGTTAATTTCCTCAAATTGGTCCAACCGGGAATCGAATCAGGGACCTCCGCATCCTGCGCAAACAGTACAACCGTTACGCCACCGAAGTCGTCAAATTTCGATGGTAGACTTCACTTAGAAGATAAATGTAGAAAAGTTTAGTAAGAGAGTAGAGCTCCTTGTTAAAACGGTTAGTCCAGGGAAGAATGTACTGCCACCTTACCTATTTCTGCAAGCATTAAAGTGAGCGTTACTGCGTTCCGGTTTTAGGGTAAGGGTGCTGGTGAAATTACAGGCACCTGGGACTTGTCAAGTTATGTCTCAGGGTGACGGGCGCAGGGCAGTGCCCCTCAGATCCATGCAATTGAAATCCATGAGTGGCACTGTAACTGTTATGGACAGGCGTGTAGCTTACCATAAGGTGCACGACCTGTTCGTTCCGTCCCTTGTTATAAAAAAAATTCAGGGTGGAGGTGGCTAGGGCAGTGATTGTATCAACGCAGCTACCTAGCTCTGTTGATGCAATACAAATCCAAACATAAAGGAACCTTCCTTTACGTTTGGTTTCCATTTTACATCATGTGGAATGGTGTCATCTGCCTGTCATATATAAAAATTAAGTGTAATTGACATTTTTCAAAGAAATAAAAATGTAAATGCCAATCTATAGTCAAGGAGCAATGTCACGTAATCTCGCTTTACAATACGCAGTAGATACTCTACCTAAGAGTACAAATTCAAATTAATAATCTACGTCTTATTTTGAGGTTGTTAGGTATTCGATTCAAAGTGAGCGTAATTCGATAAATCGAGACGACACCGGATGTTATTATCTACAAGCGTGTTGTAAAGAGACACTTTTGCCGCTTTGGCACTTATAAAATTACTTATATTTTTTACAGAATACGTCCTAATTTTGATGAAACCAGCATATCTGGTTAATAAGACTCTGCAAACGCGTAAAGTCCCCAACCCGCTAGCCCCAACGGCGTTGTGGTATTTATATAGATTGATGACGATGTACTGTATGTAATGTCGAATGTTATAAATATAGATAGTGGTGTCAATTCGGGCATTATCAGTAAGAAAAAGACAGGTGATTTAATTTTATATTAGAGTCGCCATTTTAAGTGTTATAATAATCTAATATAATGTTCTGGCCTCTTTCTCTTTCTGATATTGAGTTTTTTTAATTAGACGCCCTCTGTCGTCGAGTGGTTTACACAACAGTTTTCGTGTAGCCATATCTGAGGTCCCGGATTCCATCGCCAGGCCGGATCAATGTAGAAAACTAACTTATCTTTATTGTCTCGGATCTGAGTGTTTATCGTATTGTCGTTGCTTCCGATTTTCATAACACAAGTGCTTGAGTCTTCTTCTATCGGAATCAATATTCGCACCCGTCATGGAAGAATGGCATACCTAAGTGGAGTTACGTCAAAAATGTTTATTGCTCCATTAGATATAGAAAAATATAACCCACATCCTCTCCAATTCTTGTAACTCTATCGACTAGTATTGTAGATAGAGTTACAGGAATTGGAAAAGATGTGGATTATATTTTTCTGTATCTAATGGAGCAATAAACATTTTTGACGTAACTCCACATATGCCATTCTTCCTATTTAATTAAGTTTAACCTGTCTTTGTCTCCAATTGTTTACGAGTAGAGTTAAACTTTCAGTAATCTCTTATCTACTTGCCTGTAGTAAGAGAGGTTGTAGTAAGAGAGGCTTAAATCTAGCAGTCGAGTAAAACCTAATGCAGGAATGAAATATCAAAAAAAAATCAGCACACATATATACGAGCAACTACTCATTTTGCCGCTATGCGGTGTGGGGAAAAATCAATAAAACTTACCTACGCCGCTCTATGAAGTGTACGTATTTGAAAAGCGTAGATATATACAGTAGTACAGTGTAATAGATATATGAGTATACATATATTTCTAATGTCGAACGATAACGATTGGTCTTGCTAATTGACAATTATTTAAATACGGTCCATTGGCTATTGTATCTAAATATCGCACCACTGGCGTAATAAGGCCACATTCGCAAAATAAGTACTTTTTAGGAGAGACGTTCAAATTAGTCGATAACTTTTTATGCTTAATTAGGTGAGTTATAAAATTTTACTTATGTATAATTTGTTTCAAGTAGTTTGTATTAATTTTATGACATTCATATGATAAAAAAAGCATTTATGGCGTGTGATCACACATGTGGGTTTATCATACCAACGAAACGAAATATATAATATGAAAACGCCTGTCGTGTAATAAGGACGGGAGCACGGAAAAAGGTCGATCTCGATTTACATAATCTCAAGCAGATAGGAGGGTTTAAAAAAGGCCTGGTCAGAAGCAATAACAATAAATTTACGTAGATGAAAAGGCTGTTGCGAGTGAATAAAGCGGAACGGGTATATAACATATAGATATATAAATATATACATATAATACTATTAATTTATTTGTTTATAAATTTTAGGAAAATAGACGGACAAATAACACAAATTATAGTATAAAGCCAAAAAGAGATTTTAAGTAAGAAGAAAAAAATACACAGTTACATAAAAAAAAACAAAAATAATACCACTAGACAAAAACCGCTTCTGTGGACCACCTAAACCAAAGTAATCACCGCCAGTCAAGTGATGTGTCAAAGTGACGTTTAGTCATTTCTCGCCTGATTGTGTCTAAGCTTGTACAAAACAAAGCAAATTCAGAGTGATCTAAACATATAACTACTATACTACCTACATACCTCAAAGTGATGTGTGCAGTGACAGTGTCCCTAAGATCATTGCGATTTGAAGTTCTAAATGGCACTACAACTGTTATGGATTTAGTTAGAGGCGCATTTCGTCCCATATTATAAAACAAGTAACGGGGTCGAGTCAGTCGGGTGATTATAAAAAAATTGAGAAAAAAGAAATGGAATACGGCAATCGGGTGATTGTATATTTTGCTTCTTAAAAGAGACTAGTGTCGAGCAGTGGAACATAATGGTTTAATGGTGATGACATACATGTCTGTTAACGTACGTACTTAAGTACTTCTCACAAAGGGTGCCTACGACGGCCAGACGCAATAAAAAGAACAATAGTGTCTAGATGCCTGAATAACATTTTCTTTGACAACATGGGTAATAATTTAAATAAAGTGTACCGTCAGTATATATAGCACGTTAAAACCAACACTGTCTCTACAATACAACTACTAACACAACGTCACTAACACAACGACGAAAGTTTCGCTTTTTAATTCTTTTTTTCAAATGTTGTTTTTCGTTTAGTGACTGTATTCGTTTCAGCGTACGATACATAGGTCCCTCTAAGCCTTGCTGTCTCTGAAGAAGGTATTATACATTAGGACACCAAAATACCTGCCAGGTACAACAGAATAAGAAGAATTTCCTTAATAACGTATTTTGAAATATTGTCGCCTAAAGTTTCTTTCTTTGAAAAATGTCCATTACGATGATTTTGTTTAACAATAAAACTGAAAAAATAACTTCTTTTAGAGGGTTGTAGATCTCGATTTGTTAACAACTCAATTTCGTTTAAAATATCGATTACGTTAGTTATGATACTGAGGGCAGTAGGTAATATCCTCATTAAATCAGAAAAACATAAGTAACCTGTTTTATTTTATCCTCTATTTATTTGTACAGTATTTTTTGCCCGTAGTGCATATATTCCCCCTCTGCTATTCCTTAGTCCCATACCTGTAAGTAGTAGATAAGCGGAAAATAATAAATACGTAAATAAATTTAGTTATGAGAATGTTGAGATATTTTTGCAATAACGTAAAGTCTAATAGGTACAACAACCACAAACTCTTTCTTTAATCTACACCTTACAATTACAAATAATACAATTCTAACCACAGTAAAATTTATAGTAATTGAATATTCGCCGCATTTATTTGTACATATAACACGGAAGAAATACTATATATTAAATTTGACACAATGTGTATATATTTATATGTCTGTATATGTTTCGTATTTATGTAATATATATTTATTTTAAAGACATCAACCTACTCTGTATAAATATGTAACCCAACCACTGTTTCAAAATAATAAAACTAATATAACTGCTCTAATTACCTGTACTGTACAATTTAGAAATTTGTAAATTAGATGTAGTAAACAGATATGGATGTAGAAGAGAGGAGTCTCCTAACACAGGCTTTGCTATGCTTAAAAGGAGATTCCAGTCACTAATACTGTACATCTAAACTTGAAATGAAATAAATTATTATTATTGTTATAATACGGCCAATTTTGATATCATTTGGCCCTAGAAAGAAACAATAAACTGTGATATATTTGCGTATGTAGGGAACCACACGTGACTCGTAATCCTCATTGATTTTATGATTATACCTGGCTACGAGACAAAGGTGAAAATGATTCATCTAAAGTAAACGTTTCACTTTGTTTTCAAAAGGGCCATATTACTACCGCTACATGTGGAAATTGTAGTCTATGTATCTTTTATTGTTCAATCATGTTCAGTAAAAACTGTTTGCTAGAATAATGAAATAAAATTTCAATTTTAATTTAACGCCATGCTTGCGCCATCTTGTGTTGAGTAGCCGAACTAATTATCTTGCACTATCTAATACTGGCTACGGACTTTGCAGGTTTTATCAATAACCAAAGTGAAAAATAATATACGATTTTAATTTCCTAAAAACGAAACATCTATTAACTGATTGAATAACCTACAAAGAACGACATCTCATTGTTGTACAAATCGCGGTAGACCATTCGCATTACTAATACGAACTGCCCTGACTCATCTATTGTCACCATTTCTTGGAATAGGAAAATGAAAGCGCCCTTAGTTATTCAATCCACAATCAATTGTAGCTGTTTCTTTTGTTGTTACAGAAATCAAAACGGAGGTCATCAGCGAGGCGAAAATTGATATGGAAAAACATAAAGAAGAAAGCGATTCAATGCGGGTAGACAAACACGAGCTCAGAGCCAATCGTACTACGAGCATTGACAGTGATAACCGCTCCGATAGAAGTGAAGAGGATGATCTCAGAAGGGCTCGCAAGAGAGCAGCTTCCACCTCACCTTCACCTATTCCAATGGACAAGCGAACTGCAAGATTCGAATGTCCTAAATGTCAACAACGCTTCGATTCTGCGAATGCGTTCGATCTCCACCGCTTCACCGCACACGGCGACGATACAAGAACAGGTTTTGATGATCTAACCTTTGTCGACTTTTCCAGCAAGAAGTTCCCAGAAATTGCCAGAGGAGTCTGCGAACGCAATCCGCATATTTCTATCACCGAACAACGGTTCCGGTGCGACCTCTGTAGCCGAGATTTCCCATGCGGTCAAGCTTTGGATATTCACAGAAAATCATGCGCTACCACCACAAGACTCCCAAGCCCGGATCGGGATCGTCGGGAAGATTTCTTCGCAAAACTCGACTTGAGAAACTTAAAATCTTTTGGAATACCAGGCACGCTTACTCCTCCTATGGAAAGGTTCACACCAAAGTTTGATGACGGTCACCTTACTACTAACGGCATAAGACATATTGATGCTGCAAGGGATCTCGCTGACATCCAGTCTATTTTAAACGTTACATCCGCTGGTAGTCTTTTAGAAAGACTGACTGGTACCCGGGTGACGATGGAAAGTGCTGTTTTAACACCTCCGGATACAATAGCAAAAGAAAGAGACCAAGAAGAAACTCAAGACAATTTTGCAGCTGAATTCAGACGAATGAAACTTCGAGGAGAATTTCCTTGTCGTTTATGTCCTGCCAAGTTCCCAAATCTACGAGCTTTGAAAGGCCACAACAGAGTACATCTAAGCGGTACTGGTCCCGGTCCTTATCAGTGCAATATGTGCCCTCATGCATCTCTGGATAAAGCTGCTCTAGTTCGGCACATGCGCACACATAATGGAGACCGACCATATGAATGTGCGGTTTGCAACTACGCTTTTACCACTAAGGCCAACTGCGAAAGACACTTAAGAAATCGTCATGCAAAAGTTACTAGAGAGGATGTCAAGCGTTCCATAATTTACCACCCTTCTGAAGATCCAAACAATGATGAGGTCAACTCGAAACTTAATCGAGAAGAAGTTAAGAGATCACTTGCTTTCCATACCCCTGAAATTGACCGTCGAAATGAAACAACAGGCCGTGATACACCGTTGACACATTTCACGCCTAGCTTCATTACTGACAGACACCCTGTGTCAGCATTGACATCAAAACCTATACAAGAAGTGCCAACTCTGACTCCAAGAGAACCTGACCAGCCAATGCCAAGGATCAAAGTGAAGGGCATCGGTCAATTGACGCAGATACCTGAATTCCGACCTCCGGAAATCAACTTCAAGACTAACAATGCTCAAACGGATACTTACGAGGAAGAAGCTCCAGTAGATCTAAGCACAAGCGATAACAACAGTTGTGACGTACTCGATCTCAGCAAAAAGAAGCGCGATGTTGATGACGAAGAACCTAAAGCACCTCCACGAGCTTCCTTCGAGCGTGATCCAGCAGCTGCGGCGTCAGCGTTTGATAAAACAAGATTACTTTTAGCTCAACAGAGATTGTTTGAAAACTCGTTCCCTAAAATTGATCCCGCTTTCTACGCAACTCAATTATCACAGTTATACGCTGGTGCCATGCCTGGATTACCCGGGCTCCCTATACCGCCTTCCTTTCCGCTCAATCCTTACTTTCTTCAACCTTCGTTTTTTCCTAACCCAACAGATTCTCAAGAACTTGCGGAAATAAAACAACGTATTCAAAAAGAGATCATTCGTGGACTAAGCATGTCGGGTGGGCGATTAGTAACTACTGATCCAGAAACCCATCCAAAGCAAGAACCTGAGGAAGAAGAGCAGAAATCTGCACGTGCTTCGAGCACCTCACCTCCTCCAGTTCGCCCTGAGTCTCCGAGACCTTTATCAAACAGCATGGTTCCACAAACTGATTCAGTAAAAATGGTTATTAAAAACGGAGTTCTCATGCCCAAACAGAAACAACGCCGTTATCGAACGGAGAGACCGTTTTCTTGCTCTCAATGCTCTGCTCGATTTACCTTACGTTCAAACATGGAACGTCATGTGAAACAACAACATCCTCAACATTGGAGTGTAAGACGTCCAGCACCAAGAGCTCCTCCACCATACCCTACACCTGACACATTAGCCGATCGAGTTAATTTTGCACTATTAGCTCGCCATTTAGAAAGACCTTTGCAACAAGTTGACAGATCTCCTGTTAGAAGGGACTCTGATGAAGTTGCTGATAATGAAGAAGACGAGGATGATAATTTGATTATAGACGAAGAACCAGAAGATCGTAAAGGTGATGAACACTCTGCGGCTCATAAAGCAGCCGCTGAAATCCTAATGGCAACTAGACAACAAGAGCTGAACAAGGATTTCGATTTAAAAATTGCTGGGAATTTAATCAACAAGCCAGTCCCAATGACTACAGAGAAAACTGAAACAGGAACTGATCCCATTACGGTGCCTGATGAGTCTAATATTCCAGTAGTACCAACTAGAAGCGATGAAGAAGAAGATGAAGAAGGCCTTGTAGCTTCTACTAGTGAGGGGAACAATTCTGGAAGCGATGAAAATAAGTAAGTATATAAATATAATATTGAAAGCGTCCATAACTTACAATCTAAACAGAATGGTTATTTATTTATTTTTTTCTTTACAGATCTGAGTCGGATACTGGAATGCAACCACCAAAAAAAACAGTCCGCTTACAGCCTTGCGCCTAACAGAGTATCCTGTCCATACTGTCATCGGAAATTCCCATGGTCTTCTTCCCTTCGACGCCACGTCCTGACTCATACCGGCCAAAAACCTTTTAAGTGTCCTCACTGCCCTCTTCTCTTTACGACTAAATCTAATTGCGACCGACATTTACTGCGCAAGCATGGAGGATCAGCAAGAGCAATTTTGGCAGAACCAATTCCTGATGCCGTACCAAGTTCCCAAAATGCGAATGAAAATCGCACAGTCCCAGAAAGACCTTTCAAGTGCGCGTCATGTCCAACAAGCACATTTTCTACTATGGAAGCTTTAAAAAAACACATGATATCGCGACATGGTGCTATTGACTCTCAACCAGGATCACCAAACCCTGAAAATGATGAAACAAATGAAGGTGGTCTGGTATTCAAATGTCATCTCTGTGAATCGTCTTTCGGAGATAGGCCTGGAGCTTTAGGACATTTGGCTTCAACTCACGCTAATGAATATGAACAACTGGTCAGCAAAGGAGCGTTGGACGCTGCTAGCGATCGAAGCGAAAGCGCTGATGATGACGAGAGAGGAAAATTCCCTGATCATGCTAATAGAAAGGTAAGTTTAGTTTTATTTCGAAGTCTTTTAAGAAATCGTAATTAATAAATGATAGGATAAGAAATACTTGACAATTGTAGCGGTACTCAAAATAATCTTACGTATTTGTGAATTAATCTGGATCCCATCCTTTTTTCCATCAGGTAGTCTGCGCGTTCTGCATGCGACGTTTCTGGTCTGCCGAAGATCTTCGACGCCACATGCGAACGCACTCCGGCGAACGCCCATTTGCCTGCGACCTCTGCCGACGGCGATTCACCCTAAAGCACAGCATGCTGAGACACAGAAAAAAACACCGTGAGGAAGCCACCGACGACGAAGAGGCGACACCGCCTAATACGCCGCGAGACGAATGTGTTACCAACGGGTAAGCTTCAAATTTTAAATTACAAAAAACGCATGGCGAATCGTTTTAGGGTTACAATGAATTATTATTCATTACTAATTGCACCTCATGTTTTATGTCTAGTAATATTATTATGTGTATTATTTATTTTTTACACAAGTGCTTGTGACAATAAACGTAATTATTATTTTTTAGATTTCGCTACCAAGATGACGACTCCGGCAACGAAATCCCAAGCAACGTCAACAACAACAACTCTCCGCCTGCTCATTACGATAAGAAACTAAAACTCGACATGACATCGCGCAAGTACTCTTCAGAAACTGAAAATGACGGTGAGACCGGCAGTGACCTCATCGGAAAACTTTTGGGCATTCCAGACAGCAAACTACTGAACAAACTACTCTCCTCAGCGGATGAAGCGGCTAAATTCCTCGGTGTGAACAAATGAGAGTACGCTATAGTCCTCGTGACCCCAGCTAGGCTCATACTAGCGCCACGAGGACTAAAAATAACAAATCAGACTCAAACATCGAACGCAGCTGCTGATAAACAATCCTGTACAACGCCATCTAGCAAGGAGTAGACGCTTTTTTATTACCATTTCAATTATGGTGCGCAGTTTTCTTCAATCACTCCTTGTAAATATTTTACATTAGAATTTTTATTATTGCTTATAATTAAAATTATAAGTTACTAGGTGCCTTTAGCTGCCTTGAATTGAAGTGTAAACCGTCCTATTCTGCCTTAGATATAAAGCTTTGTGTGGGTAAATATCAACGAATATTTCTGTAGTGCCAGTTATGAAGTACATTTTATTGTATTCTTAATTGTTAAAGGTAGTGTTACTGGTACTCAAGTGTAGGATATACTGTAAGGTAATATAATAAAGTAGTAGGTGGTAGTTATCATTACATCAGTAGATAAATAGCACGAACTCATATCAGTTTTAGATGCCAGAATCACGTTTTTTGCATTTCCATCTAGTCGTGTCACTATTTTATGCACTTCTGTACATTTTTACCTCTCACTTTATCCCCATGTCACTGTCTTATGACTTTTACTAGATTTTAAAAAAGGGCTAAGTTAGTGAACGCCACGGGGGGGCTAGTCGTTATAACTGTATAACTATCAATAATGTCAAAACCGTACATCATGTTTCATCTTTCCGATAGCCCTCATTCAGCCAAATATTTAAATATTTTGCGAAAAATCCAAAATTTTCTAGTCAGTCTCTTAAGATTTCCCCACGATTCTAAGCTAAAATACCAAAATACCAATTGTTAACATGTTAAAAGTCAAGTTTTTGAAATAATGTAATGATTTGTAACGTATAAAATACATGAATAAACCTCGTATTATATAATCCTACCAATGATTAGAATAGCAAATACTTATATAGTGTTTTACATTTATACTGCTTTGATGTTTTTTTAATACATAAACTTAAGACGTTAAATGTATCCAGTCTTTTTCGCTACTTTGAGATATTTTATCAAAATACAACAATGAAATGACTTCAGACCTTCCTTACGCTTGGGACAGGCAGTGTCATTTTGTATTTTCTTTTTTCTACACATTGTATTTCTACCAATCTTTTTCCTTTCTTTCCAGTTTTAAGATATGGCTGGTTCATGTATGCTACTAGGTATTATTAAGGTATTAATCGAACGAAAATGGTAATTTAATTTGCTCAAATACAAGGCATTTCTTTAATGACAAAGACTAGTAATACTTTTTTAATAGGGAAGGCTAGGATCTCTATTTTACTATAATTTAATATAACCATTGACTTTATAATTGTAAGTCAATGAATGTAACTATATAATATGTAATTGAATTCTACATTTTACATCTAAATTAAAAATAAATAATTATTTTTATTAAAGTATGATTAATTGCCAAAGGCTCTTGGTGGACCCTCGTTTACCAACGGGAATTAATTTTATGAAAATTAATTGATGTTTTATTTTTAATTATGAATTTTTATTTCAATATTTTCGCTTTAAATGTTTATTGGTGCAGCAATATTTAAGTTTCCAACGGGTTTTAAACTCTTTTGTATTATTTTGTCTAATTATAACGGTTTGTCATATAAAACATTTTGTCATAAACACTGGAAGTGAATTTGAGTGAAATGTTCGCATAGTCCATTTTCTAATTAAATCTTTTTTTAGATATATGTAATGTTTAGGAGTAAGGCATTTAGTCTCCTTCAGTGGATTGACGAATCATACGCTAGAATATACCTAAGTCCGATTGTGCTTTGTATATTTTGAAATGCTGAGTTATATACCAAATATTATATTAGTATGAGTAAGTATATGTCCAAAGTACTGTAAATAGGAAATGTAGAGCGATTTTCTTAATTTAATATACGAAGTTTAGCCTTTTATGACATATTTAGTAATAACATTTTAAAGTATATAAAGGAAATAGTTTGTTAACTATAATAAGTTCAAATAAATTCTTGAATTATGTGAAATTTACTTAGATTTGCAAATAAATTCATTTTAAATCCCGCTTAATGTCAATTATAGTTAAAGAAAAAAATTACGATGATTTTAACGTTGTTCTTAGTTTACGACATGTACGTTTTAATAGTTTTATGCGGCCAGAAAAATGATTACGCATCGAAATAGTAATATTTTTACCATGTTTATAAATCGGGATATTGTCAAATCGTTACATATAATAAGTGATAATCTCGTACTTATTAGAGTGTAAGTTTAGTTAAGATAGAAATTTAAGAATATTATGGCAACACCGCTTGGCCTTTCAAATGTAGTGTTTGTGTGGTTTAAAATAATTATTAAAATATTCCTAATTATAAATTAATATTCTACCAATTCTATGCATGGTGTAATTGATAAAATTTATTATTATTAATAGTAAGATGTTTTACTATTCACGTTTTGCCTCTCTCTTTCTTTTTTTTGCAATATTATGAGTGTCGTTTTAAAAACGTTTTTTGTGAAATACATAATGTGTATTAATAAAATTACATTTTTCTTTTAATGCCTTTTTGTTTCAATTAGAAACTTACCTAAACTTTATCCTACATTTAAAACTAAACTCCTACTAAAGTAGTTTTTATTTCAATGAAATCAAATATCAACACTCGATAATAAGTCGCCCTTTCTGCCGTAATGCAATATCTGAATCTGATTGAAAAACTAAAATTCTTAGAAGTACAAACATTTTAGTTTTGCTACTCGACGCTAGATGGCGCCATGTCCAATGGTTCGAGTGGTACTTGACATAAAAGAACCCTTAATTATTAATAGATGGCGCTGCCAATACTAGTTACTTTCGCTTCTAGATAACTGAAAATAATAGTTTTTAGTTACATACTTATTAATATAGCTTGTTTAAAATTATTATTTTCTTTAACCTAGCAACACCGATAGAAGCTTGTTGAAAAAAAGTGAAGTGAGCGAAGGAAAAGGAATTTTGTTGAAGAAATAGAAAGAAGTCCGTAATTTATTCACAAGAGCGTCTTTATATTTTGAATCAATTGCTTAACTTCTTGTGATAGTTGCGAAACATTACGCGGTGTCCTTGTACCGCGGCCGAGGTGCCGTTTAGTGGCGTTAAAACCAAAAAATAGTTTAAACCAAGGGTAAGCTTGTTTCTATGCATTACTTAGTGACGTAGGAAGTGTTCTAAAATTGCACTATTATTATTCTATTTTAAGGTTTCGGCTTTTTGGAGAAATTACCAATATAACTTTGTCTTTTAAACTTCGCTTCGAAGTTGTTAATGAGGAAATTGATCTTTATTTGTTTATTTATTTGTAAACAAATTTGTAGGTTCGTAAAAATAAAGCAAAATGGGCGATCAGCAATTTTTCCTGAAGTGGAACGACTTCCAGACAAACATGGTGACCTCCTTCAGGCATTTGAGGGACGAAAAAAGCTTCACAGACGTGAGTATGAGCAATAGATCTTCTAATCATAACCTCACTTTTCTACTACATTTTGTTCATAGTAGGTACCCTTTTTTTTTAATATTCACAATGTATCACGCATTTACTTGTAATGTTTATAATAAGGGATATGTTAAGGTTGTAGCTTGTGCTGATTTGTAGTCCCTGTTTATAACAAAAGTAAAAAACATAAATATAATTATAAATTAAATGGGCAATTCAGGACAAACATTTATATGAAGAATTTATTTGTTTTTCGTAAATTTCATAGTACTTATGTAAATAATTTTTGATGATGTAGTGATCCCCAAAATAAATGACTTAAAAAAAGAAGATGGTAGTCAGAACATTTGAGAGTGAGGGAATGAAGAAATCAAAACAAACCTAAAAAAAATTGTGATATAAACTTACTTTTAGACTTAATATTTTGTGTAAGCTTACTGCTACCAATAACTCATCTGAGTGTATAGCTAATAAATAAAATCAAATGCTTAACTTCTTTCTATATGATGTGAGCGAATTACTGACAAAAATGTAAGTTTTAGAATTTTTAATTAAATCTTTTTGTAATAGAAACTTTTTACACACACAAGTTGAATTACGTATTGAAATGTTAACAGTGATGCTAACTTGCAAAAAGGTATACATGCATTTACCAAATATTAAAAATGCGTACACAAATCGAGTGAAGGTAGAAATGTAAAGGACTGTTTTTTTTAGTTGGAACATGAATAATACACATTTTCAAAATTTATTTATCATGTTTTTACCACACGATAGTTTTAATTTCCCAAAAACATATTTTATTTGATCCAATGTTTAAGATTTAAAGCACAGACTATTTGATTATGGAACTTGGGACATAGTGAGGGGATGCTTTTGGCTACATTTTTATATTATTATTATTTCTATTTAAATAGAATAATCAATATTTTATGTAGGCATTAGAAGCAATTGAATTATATTAGCTATTAAATATTTATTTTACAGCAAGAATCAAATACTTTTTTTTAAACCAAAAGGACATATTTTGTAAGAATTAACCGAATTAATTTTCACACACCAATGTGTATAGACACAGTGTAATAATTTCACTTTTACATGTATTGCCCTGTTCTTTTTTTTATGCAATATTAAAAGTAACTCTTTGAACATGATCTATGAGAAATGAACATTACTGCTATCCTTGGCATAACTAACACGTCAACCACCACACCAAGTTTACATCTAAAAGGAAAAGCTGCAGCTTTACAGGAGCGATTAAAAATTTTAAAAATAACATTACTCATTAGTACATACAGTACTTTAATATAATGTATGACCAAATTAAATATAAAAACCACTATTTTCTTATATTAAGAATATTTATAGTTTCTCAGAAATAAATAATAAACTCTTTTAGGGTCGTATTCCAGAACTCTATTCAATACTCAAGTCAGGACATGAGTATTGCAGTGAGCACTGAAAATCATACTCAAGTCCTTGCCATTAGGGTCGTATTTCCAGTGCGTCAAATCATACTCAAGTCTGCTCATATCCTGACTTGAGCGTTGAGTAGAGTTCTGGAATACGACCCTTAGATTTTTATTATAGTAAAAAGTACTTTGGCAGTTATTTATTATTTATATATGGCAAATAAAAAAGAAATATATTTACTATAAACTATAACATAATATTACTCTGACTATGGATATTACAATTTGTCAATACAAATATTTTATTGCTGCCTGGTCATTCTAATAATTGGTCATACATTTTAAAAGTACAAAAACGCTATCAGTTTTAAAGATTCTCAGGAACAATATTACAAAGTTAGTTTGTTATAAACATGCAAGTGTAAAAGTGTGCAAAATACATACTTGCAATAATCATGCGAGATTGTTGATTTTATTTTTCTTAGACTAAACAATGGAGTACAGAATAATTACAAACTTAATCGAAAATAAACCTGAAAAAGAATTATTAGGTGTATTTTGAGCAGGAAAATCCGAAAATGCAAGTTTTGGTAACTTTCGAGATATTGATATCAAGTATTTTTTTCTGATATAAAACTTTGTTTCATCCTCTCTTAAATCTGTATGTAACATTTCTAAAGAAAAATGTCTCCTCTTCATCTTTACTATAAAATTTACAAAATATGTATTATTTCAAATATAAGTCCATATTTTCCAGTTACAATGAAAATATGTCTCAAAGCAATCAGAGAGATGTCTATTGATAGTTAAAAATATGTTGTTTTTTGCAACAATAAAAGATATTTATCATTGTTGGCATTTATATCTTCTAAATACAAAAGATATTCTTGCATTTACAATGAGTACATTATTTTATTCATTTAATTATCTATAATAATACACTCCCGGACACTCAATTCGAATCACCTCGCATTTTCAGTACTCAATGCCCTGATCTTAAACAATGTTTGATTGATCAAAAACTTTTAAGCAATTTTGTAACTAATATACTAAACGTCTTTTCGGCCGTTCCAAAGTGACGGGTGGGACATTTTGACTCCTTTTTTCTTGAATTTTAAGTAATTTCTCCCTAACCATTGGTTAATTGGACTTAAAATGAAAATATCATGAAGCCAGATATGCAATTCAACTGCGACCATTTACATAAATTTATGACATTATTTATACTCAAAACTTTTAATTTTCTAAGTGTGCCAGGTGGGACACTTAGAAAATTAAAAGTATATATATCAAATTTTAGAAATTTTGCTCTAATATATAGTTAAAACTACTGGAGACAGACTTCTCATGAATTTCCTGGTAGTAAAAATCATCAGAAAAATGCTGTCACTTTTTAATTGTCTTTTTTTATGTATTGAAATATCTTAACTATGAAAAGCTTACAAATTATGGATCTACATATAAATAGTGTATTTTTTAAATTCTATGGATTCAAAGGTAACTTGTCCCACCTGTCACAAAATGGTGTCCCAATCGTCACAATTTAACACACCAAATGTTGAACTCCGAAATTAAACCAACTGTTACACCTAGTAAACGTCGTAAAAAGTCGAATCCATGAAAATACAATCATTTAGTCAAAGTAAAAACGTTTAGAAGTGTGTCCCACCCATCGCTGTGACGGGTGGGACACATTTCCAAATCTTAATATTTACGTTCCTATTTACGTGCACAATGCCCAACCAAGCTAAAATAATGACCCTTAGCATAATTGTTGCTTTTATAAAAGCAAATGCCAATAGATTGCATATTTATTAGTTAAAATAAAAGTATATATGTTTCATTGTGACGGGTGGGACTTGCAATTAATATTTATTGAAACTTTAATAACTCCTCACCACATATATTTCCATGCAACCGCTTATCACTATTTTAAAATTCGTAAATTGTATTTTCTTCGACATTAATAACTTTTTTAGAAAGACGCACAAATAACCGCGAAAATTGTGGCTAACATTATTGGAGAAAATGCTTCACTATAGACGACAGCACTATGGCTGCGTTAATGAAGACAAAAAATACAATAATTATACAATATCCGAAAAATCTCACTTCTAATGGGAAATGAAGCTATTTTTCCGGATTTAAATCGCGTATATTTGTTTTTTCAAACAAAGCGACGTTTCGGGCCCTTTACAGGCCCCATGGTCACGGTTTGACTGAATTTTACACTTTTAATGATTTGATTTATTGGGCGTATTCTATTACATTTATTTCTTTCGTGAATTTGGGTATAATTTTTGGTTTTCTATGTGTGTCCATTACACCCATGGGTATCATAGATATAGGGTTTGTGCGATAATGAGTGTGTGTGTACGTTATTATTATTATCATAGCAATAAAATTGTTGTCATACGAAATAGTTACATCAGCTATTGTTTATTTGTTGTTTGTAATCAAATACATTTCAACAATTGTACCCTAGGTATAATAAGGCCACGTGATCAAACGTCAAAAGTGCTTTCATCAAATGAAAGTCATAAATGATACGAAGTATATGAAACAAATTATGTATATTATGTGAAATTTTATATCTTTTCTATTTGAGTACAAAAAGTTATCGACCAATCTGGGTAATTTTCAAGTTTGTTCTCTCTACGTAATTTTGGTGGCAATACTTATTATTTGAATATTCGAATAAGTAAAATTTACGTTGTAACACCACGAACGAGAACTATTAATAACCACGCGTTGCCGGTAGATGGCGTTGGAATCAAAATAGAACGCGCTGTCGAAGTAAATTACCATTTAAATTTCAAAAGTAAATTGCTTTGTATCGAATCATAGGGCCTATGAGTGGCACTCCAGTACTTCCACCGGGTTACTTGGATCCCTTCGGTACAATTGGTCTACTTTCCTGTTTGGTCTACTTCCCAATCGGTCTACTTTGCCGATCGGTCTACTTTCCCGATAGGTCTACTTTTAAGATAATAATAATAATATAATTTAATTAATAAAATTTTTAAAAAAGGTAGAAGACAATAATAAAATTTTGGTTACAATTGTTGGCATACAAACATATCTTATTTTCTAAAGTGACAGAATTTGTAGGAGTCTGGAATCTAAACTAGATCACAGATCTGTGTCTTAGGCTTCCAGGCTCCCCACTTCAAACTTAATGCCATTTAAATTTACACCAATTTTAATAGAGATGTAATGTAACGATTTTAAACTATACATAAATAAAAATAACTAAGGGAAACCAGTATTTATAACAGTCGTGTGTAGCTGTGTGTACGTGTTTTTTGTAATTATGATTGCATGTATAGATGTTAACTACCAGCATTAAAGTATAAAAATGTTTGCGCGAAGAATGTTCTAACCGACTGCTTTTGCGCGATTATCTGAGTAGACTCATGATAAAAGTAGACCTATCGGGAAAGTAGACCAAATGGGAAAGTAGACCAAACAGGAAAGTAGACGAAATGGGAAATTGACGAATCGGGAAAAACAAGTGGACCGATCAGGAAAGTAGACGAATTGCGAAAGTAGACAAAATGGGAAAGTAGACCATTTGGACAAGTGGACCATTCAGGAAAGTAGACCGATTGTACCTTGTATGAAAGCTCATAGAATCGGCGGTCCTCGTCATAGATTGCCGGCTGCCGTTTCTACCGGGTGGGAGCTGACATCGATGATGAGCGCGATTACGTCTCTTATGTCGATCATACTACTACATCAATAAACGCCATTGAACATTTGGAAACTCCAAGCGTCTTTTTTTACTCTTCTTCGCTACGTATACCCATCACAACATGAAATATTAAATAATATTTCAGGATACTACACTCGTATATTAAATAACATTTCATGGTAATATTCTAGAATATTTGAATAATAAAAATTGCCACCAAAAAAAGGGGACAGAAAACTAGAAAATGACTTAGCAGAATTGGAATCATAAATGTTCTGAATACAGTGACAAACTACAACATACTAACATATTCCTAATACACTGAGCTCCTAACTGCTTACAGTGTCGGCTGCATGCAGTTGTATACAGTCTGTGTTTTTTAACTAGGACAGTAATAGGAAATCTGAAACTATTATTCATCTAGTATGAATTCTATTCATCATTTATTGCAACCGTGGTATATATACAGTTGTTAGAACTAAATAATAGTATCACAGGGATCCTTACAGAATATAGCAAATTGAACATAAATCAAGTTTATATTATAATAACTTGTAATATTAATTTCCACCATGGAAATGTACATGTTTGGATTAGGTATTATAAATACAATTTATGAAAAACATTTTATTAAATTTGACCAACTTATGCTGTCCCGATTTTTTTCTTCGTATACAATTAAATCGTCCTTATAAGAAACTTGAGTCTTTTATATTAACATTAAAATAAATTACAGAGCTTTTTTGCTAGATATAAGCTTGAAATAAAGATCCTAGCAGAATAATAAAAAAAATAATTGTGACCTGCATTTTTTAAGAATTATTTAAAGCAAAAGTGTGGTAGACATCTTTACTAGACACAAAAACAGCAACACTTAACGCTAAAATGTTGCAATACGTTATTACAATTGGTTAATTAGATTGTAAGAAGAATAACAATAACATCTGATCTGTCAATATAGGTATTTTTCATGGCATTTGCCACTAGCCCTTTAACTAAAAATTGCATAAAAATGCTTTTCGTTTATTCATTTTTAAACCACTTCAAAAAAGGAGGATGTTCTCAATTCGACTGTATGTTTTTTTTTGTTTTATATGTATGTTACGCGATAACTCCGGTATTTGTGAACCGATTTTCATGATTCTTTAGCGCCTAACTTTAATTTAGGAGCAATTATTTTAATGGTTGATTTTGCTATTTCTCCAATTCAAGGCGGTTTTATCTCGATATTCTTTGAGTAGTGAGAACCGATTGTTATTATCTCCAATGTCCTGTGTAGTGGCGAATTTAAGGTTATTGTAATAAAACTTAGCAAATAGATGTAATTCCACGTACTTTTGAGGTCGGTTTTTTTAGTAGTCTGTACTGAGATTATTATGAACAAGTCACGCTTGACCAAAAACTTTGCCATGCAAAATTGTTTTCATAAAAAAGGCTTAATATTTCCCAAGACAGATTCCATTTACCTCCTATATTTTCGGATTTCTCCATACTGTCCCAGTTAAAAAAAACATACTGTATATGGACTTTGCTCATGCAGATTGCAGCGTCTGGTAACAGCCTAAATTAACCAATTCTGTTCATAGTTAATTACGAAATATGTTATATTAATTAATTGTCTTTTTTCCAGGTGACGCTAGCGTGTGAAGGACAAACGTGTAAAGCGCATAAAATGGTCCTCTCCGCGTGTAGTCCATACTTTAAAAGCTTATTAGAGGTGAGTACATTTTTCTAAGAAAGTCTATATTATTCTTCCAAAACAATCAAAAGTAAGCTTTAAGTCTTCAACTTACAGTATACAGTTCAATACAATGTATACAGGAGCTCAGTTTTGAAAGTTTAATTTCATATCTATTTACAAGAACATTTGCCGCTCTAAATCGGAGCCAAAATACCAGGCATTTTTTTGTGCGTTTATTCGTCGTGCGCCTGATGGTAAGCGAAACGCCTATCCATAACAATTGCATTCACCACTCAGAGCTTTAAATCGCAAAGATCTGAGAGTAACTGCCACTGCGCCCGTCACCCTGAGACATAAGTTGACAAGTCCCATGTGCCTGTAATTTCACCAGCACTCTTACCCTTCAAAACCGGAACACAGTAATGCTGACATTACTGCTTGGCGGCAGAAATAGATAAGGTGGCTGTACTATCCTAGACGAACTCTTTTACAAGGAACTCCACTGCTTCTAAATAATAAAGAATTTAATTTTGTATTGTAAGATGTGCTGCATTCCCTAATATTTATAGCACATTTTTGGATGTTTTATTTTGATCAAGTGTTACCGAGCGGCATACGTCAGGTCTCAAACTGATGCCGTCAAAAAAACAACGTAAATATTAAAAAGGGGCCAAGTTCTCTCTGGATAATTTAATTTTAGAACTAGCAAAAAGTAAAGAATGTAATATCAAGAATTTAAAAAAGTGAGAATTCTAAAAATGCAAAATTAAACATTTACATTGTTTTGGTAATATATCAAATGCGAATAATATGTTACAAATTTAAACGAGGATGACCATGCTATTTGTAAGAAAGTCATGTGCGTGTTAAGCGGCACGCCTGTTTATAGCAGTTGCAATGCCACTGAGAGATTTAAATTGCAAAGATATGAGGGACATTGCCACTGCGCCTGTCATCCTGAGACATAAGTTGCCAAGTCCCATTTGCCTGTAATTTTACTGATATCCTTGCCCTTCAAAGCAATAATGTTTACATCACAAGGAGGTCTGCTGTCACTAAAGATGTTTTTGTGAAATAATTATTTTTCCCATTATAACTGCGATATTACTAATAATCTTCCCAAATAACACAGTAATTTGAGCCCGTATAGTTATGAGCGCGGATAGCGAATTGTAAACAGTACGAGGATGTTATATTATGAACAACACAACAAGGTGTAGGCAAAGATGTAGTTTTATATGGAAATACATTTGAGTGCAAATAAATCGAACCAACAACAGAACTATTGTTGTTTATTTACTGATTACCAGTATTTCTGTTGGTATGGTTTTTGTCATTTTACAACAGACAAGTTGCCATTTTAATTACACAAAAACAAGACGCTTAATTGGGAGGTCCTTGGGTTCGATTCCCGATATGACCAATTTGAAAAAACGAACTATTCTAAATTAGTTGTGGTCTGGTGTTCTGAGTAGTGGCCCGTGGTAAATTTTATTGTTTATAAAACGTCAAAATGTAAGTCGTTCAAAAACGTTTACAATACGTATTCTATATATGTTTTCACGTATTTTTAAAAGTTCATATATTTTCCAACTTAGTTCAAAGTTTTATTAATAAAAGTTATATTATTTTATAACGTATATTTTCGATGGACATCAATTTTCAACTGGCCGCATAAGCATAACCAACATTTAGTCGATAGTCGATGGAATATTTTATCAACTGCTTGCAAGCGGGCAACACTTTGGCGCAATGAACTGTCATTTTACTCCATCTTCAAAAAAAAACAAACTTTATTATATATGTGAAATTATATAACTCTCTCATATTTAAGCACGAAAAAGTTGTCGACTTGTTTCGTACGTAAAATCTTTAACTTCTTTGCTGAAAAGTTGTCATTTTGTCATGTGGACCTTATTACTTATTACGATGCGATTTGAATTTCAGTTGTTTAAAAAAGACAAATATACACAATTCAGATCTTTTACTAGATTTACAGTACCGGCACGCTATGATGGCCACCATGAGATATAAGTTGACAAGTTCCATATCGTCGCTTTACTTACTGGAACTCGTATCTCAAAGGACAGAAGAGAAAATGCAAAAAATGGATTGTATATATAAATTTTGCGGGTTGATTTTACATCATATTTCTTTCATATTCACACACTGGCCTTTATCTATTCTTATGGTCGTATTCTAGAACTCTACTCAATGTTCAAGTCAGGATTTGAGTAGGGTTTAAAGCACTCGAAATCATACTCAACTCCCTGCCATTAGGGTCGTATTTCCAGTGCTTGTGTTTCAATTGCAATCCTGACTTGAGCATTGAGTAGAGTTCTAGAATACTACCCTTAAAGTAATACATCCAAATTAACCCCTTGATAAGAAATTTAAAATAAATAGAAAATTTTGCCATCCTGAATAATCCCTCTGTAAGATACGAGTTTGAGAAAGTAAGACATCGATACGCCTGTAATTCACCAGCACCCTTTTCAAAACCGGAACGCAGTAATGCTCATATTACCGTTTGGCGGCAGAAATAGGTAAGGTGGAACTACTTTCCTGGACTAAGTTTTTCACAAGGAGCTCTGCTGCAATTAACATAGTTTTAAGTATGACTAACATACATAATTTTTTATAGATCTCAGTTGTGTGTTAATAAAAGATTTATTATTATTATCACCAGGCTCACGACTTGTTCGTCCCGGCACGTTATATCATTTTCAATTTATATACAACAAAATAGTCTCATTTTCAATATATAACATAGCAAAAATCTAAGTACTTCCATACTATAGTCCTATTAATTTTGCACTCATACGAGCAGACAGTAATAATAAAGCAATTGCTTTCATTCACCCAATTGACTGTGCAATCGACTCTCGACATTGTTTATGCGAATAAAATGTATGTATGACGTTCTTTACATACACGCCTACTTAATGCTAAGAACATACACGGCTTTCCTTTTGTGTAAACTTCCAAAAAAGAACACGAATCGAATCGATGAAGTTCAAAAATGTAAACAAAGGTGATACTATTCCAAAAAAAGATTTTGAGAATAGTGGAAACGTGAAAAGATCTAAAAAATAATGCAAGATGTTTTATATTGTTCTTAAATTGTTGCATGTACAGACAAAATATTATCCAATTATCATTTTTATTTAACACGTTCACAGTCCATGACTCCACTTGGAGTCGCAAATTGGCTTCAACCACACCTAAGTCCACGCATACCTGTGGAGTCACAACGATATACTATTTCACTTGTTAAATAATATTTTGGTTCGTTTTGTAGATTAAATCCCTGTTTTTATTTAACTTCTGAATTTGGTAGTCTTTTATAGGAATTGCAATTTTTCAAAAATAAAAAAATAAATTGTTTCAGTATATTATATATAATGTGAGAGTAAAAGACAAAACCAACACTATTTCTTCACACAAATTCTGGGGGACTGTGAACGTGACTGGGTTTAGTAACTTTTGGAAGAGGGATTACATGAGCACACCAGAGAGAAGGAAAAGCCCCAGTCATCGTCGAGAAATTAACTACGTAATTAAGCAATACTATAGTCCATTTGTTTAGGTACTTAACTAAATGTAAACAATCTTGATACATCTTTTTATTGAAACACATGCTTTACAAATCAATAGGTATAAAAATAAGCATGCAATTTCATATGAAGCTAAGTATTTGTATTTTGTATTTGAAGGTAAGGGAAAATCATTTTATAAATGTATATTTCATTAAATAGACATCTCAAGATTGTTTACATTTATTTAAGTACCTAAACAGATGGACTATAGATCTTAATTTTTTTTTAACTGTCACAGGGATCATTCTAGACTATTTTTAGTATAACGCACTTGTGTTATAGAAATCGGAAACAACGACGGTATCACAAACACTCCTGTTCTCTGTCCGACATCAGTCCGAAACAATTACTGTAAAATATTAAAATAAATTGTGGTTGTTTATCTTACCGATATCTTGGATTTTATAATACTCTATGTGAGTAACGAGTTTGCCGAATAAAACTGAGAAATGCTAAAGTCACGTGTTAAGCTCATTTTCAATGAATACAAAAGTTTAAAACGCTCCCCTGTAAACTTGGCCATTTCGACATACGATACTTTACGTAGTAGGGGTCGATTCATTCAAATAAGTCATTATACCATACCCATTGCTACGGCCGCGACTCTGAAGTAAGACTAGCCTACAACTGCGTTCGCCCGTGCCTACCCGCTTAGTGGAAAATCGCACTAATGCTTGACCTACTTATAAGACAATTATAATAATAATAATAACGCCCACACTCATCATAGCCCCGCACTAGGGAAAACCCTGTGTCGCGGGTGCCATGGACTTTGTTTTGTGATTTGGTCGAGAATTACTTATTTTACAGTAATTGTTATGGACGAATATCGGACGAAGTAGATCCCCTGGGAATAGTGGGAAGTAGATCCCCTGATCCGAGACAATTTTTTTTGTAAATTTATATCAAGTGACGGGACGAACAAGTCGCGCGTCTGATGGTAATCTACACTCCTGTCCAGTTACAGTGCCAATCAGAGCTTTAATTGCAAAGATCTGAGGGGCACTACCACTGCGTCCGTCACCCTGAGGCATAAGTTGAGAAGTCCCCTGTGCCTGTAATTTCACCAGCACCTTTACCCTTCAAAACTGGAACACAGTAATGATGACATTACTGCTTGGCGGCAGAAATTGGTAAGGTGGCAGTACTACCCTGAACGAACTTTTTCACAAGAAGCTCTACTGCTACGAATAATAGAAAACTTATATTGAACTTTCTACTTTAACCTGGCCGAGGATCGAACACAGGACTAATAAATAGACACCCATTCTCCTAATCAGCCAGCCTTTTAAAAAGAAACTTCATATATTTTTCAATAACATTAGCTAAATAACACCACTTTTAGGGGATTACAACATTATCAACACGGAATTCCATTAAGCCGTTCAGAAAACTGCTTTATATCCATACAATAAGAGCAAAAATGACGCGGTCAGTTTTCGTTCTTATTGCATGTAAGCTTTTTCTGTCCGGCTTGTGAACGCTTATTAACTAACAGCTTGAGTATACATTTTGTGTTACATTAAAAATATTATGTTTTGAATTCCAGGAGAACCCCTCGAAGCACCCTATAATAATCCTGAAAGACGTGTCGTATTTGCACCTGCAAGCGATCCTCGAGTTCATGTACGCCGGAGAGGTCAACGTCTCGCAAGAACAGTTGCCCGCCTTCCTCAAGACAGCAGCTAGATTGAAGGTACACCCAACCTATACCCACAGCTTTATATATACAGGCAACATAATACATATAATCATGCCTTTCTCCTACTGGCGTAGGCAGGCACTCATGTCAATCTCGTCATCCTCTAAAGGACTCTTCATGGTACTTTTAATCCACAGAACAATAAATATAGTAGAAGTGGTTAGTTAGCGTCAGACACGTGCCAACTATAGGTCACGAAAGACCTATTTGAGCTCAGGTTGCAATTTTCGCTTTGAATGGTACGGTTGTGTATTTATTTCGAGCAAATTCTCTAAAATTCTATAGTCCATCTGTTTAGGTACTTGACTAAATGTAAACAATCTTGAGATGTCTATTTAATGAAATATACATTTATAAAATGATTTTCCCTTACCTTCAAATACAAAATACAATTACTTAGCTTCATATGAAATTGCATGCCTATTTTTATACCTATTGATTTGTAAAGCATGTGTTTCAATAAAAAGATGTATCAAGATTGTTTACATTTAGTTAAGTACCTAAACAAATGGACTATAGAAAAATGCCTTATTGTGCTATTTTGGGGTGCAAAAATGATAGCTGAACCAAAAATATTACCCGTGGTGGTATTTCATGTCATCGAAAAGTCTTATTTTAATAAATTTTCTGTTTATCGAAGTATTTTTTGTTGCAATAAAACGAAAGTAAAGCTTATGCCCCTGCAATATGGTCGCTTCTTGTTCTGAGAACTAAACTAATAAGTCCAATTCGTCGTCGTTCAGCAATGAACCGCTAGATGACAGCACATTGATTGAAATTTCAATACAATATCAAAACGTCGTAACTTGTAATAATAGGTATTGATTGTATTGATCTTTGAACGATGTGCCAACAGGGTAAAGTTTAAATTATATTAACAATCCAAAATTTGTGAATTAGTGTTTTAAGTTAAGAGTGTGCGACTTTTGGCGACATCGGTTCTAATAGTAATCGAGGCTGAAGGCACTTCCACTGGTTTTTTTGTTCCATGTTTTAACCTGTCCTTTTTTAAGACATTCCCAATCTGTTCGAGATACATTGAGCTCTATTTCTACCCATGTGTCCATCCAAATTCGCTCTATTAATTTGAGCCGTCAATGTACCAACATCTGTTTTTTCTAATGACCAAACTATCAACGCATTCCCTTTTCTATCCTGGCCACTACATCATCACACCTCAGAGCTCTTTTTTTGCATTGGTATTTGAAAGTGTAAATACTCTGTTTAGCCCTGGGGGTCTACTGTCTTTCTCTGTCTGACATCGGTCCGAAATAATTACTGTCAAATAATATTCGACCATCGAGTATACACGATTGGCCAGGCCGAATTCGAAACAATTGTCGTCAATTGTTTCACTTCAAAGCGACCAGTTTATTTAATTTTCGAATGATGAACAGTCAAGAACTTCCGTAATATGATTCCAGTTGATATTTAAAATCTTTAAACTGCCATACGAGCTGCAATCCTACTGCATCACAACTGTAAAATAGATGTTGGATAGCAGTGTCGATGTTGTTGGTGAACTGCACTCGTGATGCAGCTTGTATGATTTCACCTTTAGATGAACTGACACTTAATAGCAGTGGTAATGAAAAATTATCATTAAAATCATGTATTTGTTTATCGTTACAGGTTAAGGGTCTTGCTGAGCCGCCACCACAAATGCCCAGTATCAAGAGGGAAGGCTAACAGTTTTAGTGCCCTAAAGACTCTTAGTGTACCAGGAACACCAATCTAACTTATCAACACATTACATGACACAAAATACACAGTTCTATTAAAACATACAGATTTTCAGACCATACAGTGTCTTTCCGTTCGAATTTCAAAATACAAAATCAATGCAACAATAATTTTTCTACACATAGGGGTGTAGTCAGACATGCTACTCCCAGTGCTCTCCAACTGCATTGAGATTGCAAAAACCTGCAGTTGGAAAGCAGTTTGGATGAAGTCATCGTTCGCAACAGCACGTTAACTCTACTAACAATCAGCAGTTGTTGCAGTAGAGATGCTCGTGCGACTACGTACAAGACTTGTTTCCATAAGGAAACACAACATATTTTTTAAACAAACCGTACTTCTACACTTTAGATTGCTGTGTGCCTAAATAAATGAAAAACACCGATATATACACAATATCTAAACATAACACAACACAACATACACATTTTTAGACAATGAACAGTATTTTTCTGTTGTCAAGACTTACGCTTTTAACTTACAAGTATGTGCCTATACATTTTAGCGTAACGTATTTATGTTGTGTGTAACCACAATATACACACAACAATAACATACAACACCTTTAGACAAATAATTAATATTTTTTCCATCAGACTTATAAATTAACTTGCGCCAGAATTAGAAACATTGTATAATTTAATATGTTGTAAATTTTACAATTTATAAGTACTTCTATTGCACGCTTTTATATATACACAAATTTTCTCTCAGACCCAGACATCTTAGTATACTTTACTATGTCAGGGTTCTACGTTAAGTGGTATTTAGAATTTTCATCTTTCTAAATATCGCGTACTTGCTTTCCCAACACAATGTCACAATAGTACATATAAATACATTACAACCAAAAAACCATATCAATGTTATTGACGGTTTCATTTTAAGGCGTGTTCGCACTGATCAACTTGCTCTGCAGCACACACATGAATGTTTCCACAAAACGAGTTGCATGCAAGTAACTTATAATGTGTAAACGCGTAAAAAAACTGACCTGGTTTGTCAATGAACAAACTATTAAATAATATAAGAGCATGTAACAAGTCTATTCTTTTAGACGTTATTTTTATTTCTCTTCAAATATTGTTTTTTTTTTCTTTTCAACGGCAAAAATGAAGCTCTAGAGGCGCGCCCTACTTTTAAATTGAAATTACTTTAGTTCTATTTTTTTTGCGATCGTTGGTCATCCATACTTACTTGAATCAGCCGTGCTGTCACTATACAGGGTTATTTGTAAAATACGAACAAATTCGCAGGACTATATTACTGATATTATAAACAACAACTTTAGATAATGTATTTAGCAGTCAGGTAGTAAGTTCAAACGTGCAAGCGTCCTCCTCGACGACCCCCACCTCCACTCCTGCATTTTGCATAGGACTGGTATTTACGCTAGCACTTCTTTTATTACCGCACAGAGTTATCATCATTTATAGTCTGTCTTTTCTGAAGATGGAGTAAAATGACAGTTCATCGGCCAGTGTTGCCCGCTTGCAAGCAGCTAGTGATTGCAGTCGATAAATATTCTATCGACAGAATGTTTGTTACGCTTATGCGATAAATAGTCGAACTTGTTTCATTTGAATCATTATCGGCCCATTATTCGTCCAACTGCTGGGCACAGGTTTATTTGAATTGTCAATTTTTGAAAGATAGAAATAGGAGACATACTTCAATGTTGTTGATTTTAATTTTGGTATACATAATCATATCCACATGTCGTTATTAAAATGTTTATGAATAAAAAATTCATTTCGATACATTAGTATCGAATATTTTGGCCTATTAAGGCCAACTGTCAAAATAAGAATAATAAATACAATAACGCAATCATTAGAACGTGGTATCATCCGCAATTAAGACGATTTTTGGCAAAATTTTACCTACTTTCACAATTTATCGTCAAACCTGTCGACAACAACTACATGACTATTTTATGAAAACTGACAAACCTGCAAATGTCATTTTACTCCGTCTTCAAAAAAGACAGACTACAGAGCGATCTATTTAAATATTTCTATTTTTGTACGAAAGTAAAATCTGATGAATGATCAATAAAACTCATGGAACAAAAGTGTTGTTTTTATGATCTTAGTAATATAGTCCTAAGAGATTGTTAATGCTTTCCAAATAACCTTGTATATATGGACATTAAAATAATGCATAAATTTTCAAACACTATAGAACAAGAATTGTTTTTATTTATAAGTATTAACTCTCTAAAGTTTTATTTAAAAGTGTAAATACTCTGTTCAGCCCTGGGAGTCTACTCATTCTCCGTCCAGAATACTGTCAAATAAAAAAAGACAATGTGAAGTATGAAGCTTCATTCGTATCATGCGTGTTTTAATTTGGTCGAATGTTACTTATTTCACAGTATTTTTTTTTTGGACGGATGTTGGACGGAGAATGAGGTTACAGGACCTGTTCCTCCAATTTAAATAACGAAAATATCCATCTTTACCTTATTGCTCCCATACCGAGTTACCTAACTACCAAAGTATAGTTTTTATCCCCCAAATTTAAGAATATTATACCGTCATTTACTTTCTTATATCAGTAACTGCAATTAAATAAACAAGTAGTCCAAAAATATTGCGTAATATAAGTTATTATTTTCGTTACATTTACTCGCTTACAACCAACTTGCCCGATGCAATTGCAGCCTAAATTATGTGTTAGTAAATCACACAAAAGCATAATATTTAACTATTGGTATTATTATTATTTTCAATTTGAGGAGCGATGACAAAAACCGATAAATCACATTTTGACTTGGTCTTATTTTTTAATACCAAACGGTAATTTTTGTACGTTTGTATGAATGTTCTTTTTTTATTATAATATCAAGTGACGGGTCGAACAAGTCGTGCGCCTGGTGGTAAGCTACACACGCCTGTCCATAACAGTTGCAGTGCCACTCAGAACTTTAAATCGCAAATACCTGAGGGGCACTGCCACTGCACCCGTCACCAACCTAAACAGCAACTAAATACGTTTCAAATGGATCTGAACACATTCATTCAAAAATTGGATTCGTCGATTTTTGTTCCGAAGCTCCTCAACTGTAGTTTCCACTAAGCAAGTTGGCAACTTGTGTGCTGCTACTGGTCTAACATAAACGCGCCCTAAGCCAATACATACGTAAGATGATTGGTGATGAGTTTTTCGAACTGCAAGTGTTAATTTGGCCAGTTTTATTGTAATTAAATAACTTATTGATTCCCTTCACCAACAGTTGCCTTAAAAATAACTAATGATTTACAGATTTGTGACACAAATTTGTATGTCGATTTAAAACAAAAAATTACAACAAGACAACGGCGTAGTGTTGTCGTAAGTGTAACTTGATAACTAGATATGCAATAACGTGTCAAACAATATGACTAGTTTTACGAAAATAGCGAATTTTGCAAAATTTTTACGTTGTTTACGATAGTTTGTTCTAAAATTTACGTGTAACTTGCAGCAAAAATTTTTCAGGTATTGATATTAAATTTACGACTCAAAGGCCTTTGCAACACTGGTTAGTTTACACGGAAATGTTTGTTAGATAATGGCGAGGTTGTCGCCAATGTGGAAGGGTGATAATCGCGAATTTTTACACGAAAAAACTATAATATTCTTTCGATAATCGTATCTTAGTGACGAGCAACTCTCGTCGTGTACGTTGGTCTTAATAGTCAGTGAAAGAGACGACAATTCTTTTCCAGATCTGTCAAGCTAGGTTTAAGAATATTAAATCACATAGACACCAAAACTAACGTATAATTTGATATGAATACAAATCGACATACAAGTTAAATAATATGTAGTATATAAAGGTAGTATACCCTACGTAACATACTACGTACGTGTAGATATACTCTTAATACCTACCCTTGTAAAACTCACGGGAATTACATCAAACTAATTTCATATATGCATCTCTTTCTTCTGTTAAAGTTAAGAAAAGGTCAGAAGACTTCATATACGGCATATTTTGTATTGCAGAAATCTTCTGTCCTTTTCCAACCGATAACGATAATAAGAGATGCAAGAAAAATTAATATAAATTTATTTTGGATTCACATTAGCGATGGGCAATTGTTACTAAAAAAATATCGAATAAAGCGATAGTTGCATTATCCTATATTCTATTTAGTCGTCTTTTACGTCGTTACTAAATTAGTAATTACTAATTAAATTTTCGGTGTCTTAAAAAAGTCCTCTGTACTATACTACTGAATGTAAAAAAAATGATCCTATTACTTATTTAGTACCAATCGATCCTATTACGAATTTATTACCAATCAATCCTATTACTAATTTATTAACAATTAATGCTGTTACTAATATTTGATCAACAATCAAAAAGTGTAGTTGTTAATTAGTAAGTAACTGATATCAACAATCGAATTATTTCAATTATTTTTAGTAACTATCGCCCATCGCTAATTCATTCATTCTCTTATGGAACACCGAAAAACTATTTTTTAGACATAAGCTGGTGCAAAACCTCCAGTATTGCAATACTAGTGTAAATTGTAAAGGCCTACAAATTCGATTCTGGCCATTTTGTGGTATTTTAAACAGCTCATTTAGTTATTTTTAAATCGCCCCTTTCCTAACTGCGTAGTTGATATTTTTATAAGTAACTTTAACTCTTACAACGAGTTTGACATTTCATTTTAACCGAAAATACATTAAAATACCATAAGTTTTTTTAAAACAGTACTATAGACGGACAAATCAGTCAAAATTCCGCGTCATTTAATAACATGCATAATTGAACGGTGTTCTCTTAAATTAAGACCCTAGACCACTACAACCGGCATCATAAAAACAGGAATTTTTTTTCATATTTGATCCGTTCTTACTACTTGTGAAAAATAACCTGAAAATTAATCAGCGGCAAACAAAGAATTACAATGGCTATTTGTTAGGCACGGCTGCAAAGTTGTTGTTTGTCACGAGTGCTTCTATTGAAACCTTAACAAGCGAAGGATTCTAAGATTGAACCACGAGTGAAGCGAGTAGTTCAAAATTAGAAACCTGAGCAGCGAGGGTTTGAAGGCACGAGACGCGAAACAACTTTACTGCCGGGCGAAACACACAACTGTTCACCTCACTATAGCGAGGAAAATGGTAGATGAAAGAAAAACAGTTGAACTACAACAAACCAGTTTTTATTTTCATCGAAAAATCTATCGTCAATTTCGAATTTCAAAAACCTTTTCCACGCTAGCGTGGAAATAACGCTTTTGCGCGCAGATTTGTAATGAGAAAGAAAGCCTTTCCGAGCTAGAGAGGTGAAAAATAAATTACTAATCGAATTACGAGGAGAGGGGCGAAATAAAGAATGTTTAAAATGAAAATTTGTTTTCGTCATACACAGACGCAATTAAAATAAAGAAAAGTTTATTTAATACTCTTACGTACGAAACTTGACATACGAATTTAAACATTCCGGTTTCATAAATTCACTTTTTACGTTTTGGAAAGTAACGAACGTCTTCTGTGCAGAACATAACGAATTTTTGTGCATATCGTGCATCCGTGTTCGTATAAACTTAAGAATGATCTTGTCTACGGAACACAATGTTCGATTCTCTTACAATACACACAAGCAATAAAATCCTGTTGACAAAAGTGTACACGCGTAAATAACAAATAAATTCCAAATATTTAAATAACACTTTTGTACAAAGAAGTACTTTTCTTAAACACCTTTTTGTTTAATTTAGAAAATAATTGTTCATTTATTTTAAGTTCCCAGAAAATACATTTCAATGTCATTGTATTTTAATTCTATTAGTTCTTAGTTTTTAAGGTTCTTTTTTACGTAGCATTATGTACCTTGTGGAATCAGCACACTTCAATTTACAATTTGCGATGAATATTTTGTTAATTTGCAATTATTTTGAACGTATATTCTACAAGAAGAAATGTAGCTAATAACTTAGTGCATTGCTAACTCAGGGAACCCAGCTATGCTTATAGTAGTTTAGGTTCAGTTTTGCGGAATCAACGAAGTTGATATGGAACAAAATTGTAGAGTTGGGAAAATACGATTTGAAAGTTAAAAGAAATACTGAATGAAGCCAATAAATTTAGTCTCGTTTATAAATGGATAATTAAATATTATGTCTAAATAAAAATAATCACATTATTCACAATAAGATCCATTCAGAATTTTTATTTTTGAACTTTCAAATGTGATATTTCCTCAATTTCACTAATTTTTGCGACAGTATTTGGTTTTAAATGCTATAGCATTTAGTGTTGTTCCCTGAGCTACCAATAATTTGTCAGTATAAAGATTACATTCGATGCAATTCAACATTGCACTTGCCCGTCATCTAGATAAGATATTATGGCATTAATTGATTTATTTATATCATGCCGACTGCCGCTTTTGTCATTTTCTTGTAGGTTTAATATAATTCTTGCACCCAAATGTAAGTAGGTCACTCTAATAATAATTTCATTAATAATTTTACGTTTTAATAATGTATTTAGTATTTATTTCTGCAATTTACCTGATTTGTTCCTCAAATCCCCATTGACCGAATAATTATTCCTGAAAATCCTTCAATATTGGCTTCTTTGTTGAATTAATAATGTACAATGTTGAAGTTGACGCGTTGCCTCCTTAAGGGTCCTTTTCAAATGCAGGCAACGGCAGTTAGTAGCTGCCATCCGTAGTTGACTTGTTCTTGTCAACAATAGCGGTTCGCGATTACATATTTATTATAAAACAAACTGTTTTCGACGTCAACTTTGCTGAAAATACGTACCGTCTGCAACCCAGCTTAAAAATTTGTCTAACAGGGTCAAATAACTTTTCAGTTGACATAATATATTTGTGCAGTTATAGCCTGGGCGGGTAGGATTTCTTGCAAGATTTATAATGTACACGGCATCCACTGCCTCTACCATGAGTTTAAAGCGATCCGTGCTGTGACAAG